GGGAATATAAGCAATAGATGTACAATATTTTCTCCTCCAGTTGCTTATCAAGACTATTATGATTCCTTTTTTCTTTTCTTTTAGACGGCTCCCATTCCACTAAAGGTAATTAAACTATATTTGCATTCAGTGATATGAAAGCTATCAAATAGTTTGGCAGTGACAAAGGGAGATAATCACATCTGGACTAATAAACGAGGGAAAGGACGGTGATTTAATTGTTTTTGTTTTTTTTGGGGGGGGGGTTCCCCCCCTGTAATAATTTGTAAATGAAATAGTTAAGCAAAATTGAAAGAACATTTACAGAGATTTTTTTTTTTTTTTTTTTTTTACATAATGAAAATGCTTTGTGATTTTGGGAAAACCTTAATTAATATTTTATAAAAAAAAAAAAGAAAACAAAGAGAACTGGAAATTGGAAATTTTCTTTCTTATTGCATATTGTTTAGTGAGTGGTAGATATACCGAAAACTTTCATTAACTTATGAGTAACCAAAAACAATTTTTCTAATTACACAATACCTATTAGGAGTATCTACCTTTAAACTAAAAACAACAATTAAAATAGGTAAAAATTAATTCAATTAGATCATTTCTGAAAGCAGTGTGTGTGTGTGGGGGGGTGTAATATCAGAAATAGTGAACTTTTTTCCTGCCAATATCACTGCCAACAAATATATTGAGAGAGTTCCATAGAGAATAAGAAATGTGATAAGAATTGAGTGAATTTTATGGATAAATCATTGGCATTATTAATTGTTTCATCTTGATTTTGGTATTAGGATTAAAATCCACAAAATAAGATGAAATATAGTAAAAATTAATAATTTTATTCAATTCTTGACTTTTGTTAAAATAAATGAATTATCTTTATTATGTAAGAATAGGACTGCCAGAATTGACAAACCCCATTCAAAATATAAATTCATATGATTTATAAGTACATATATTATGTAAGAATAGGACTGCCAGAGATGCCAAACAAAAATACAAGATACCCTGTTCAAATTAAATGATTTCTAACATATATATATATATATATATATATATATATATATATATATATATGTGTGTGTGTGTGTGTGTTATATAAAATATAGTTTTACGGTATGCTATATTTATAGCTCAATATACAGGATAGGCAATATGTAAATATAAGCAGTGTAGGCATAGAGATTAACATTGAATGGTGACAGTTTTGAACACAATCCAGGCCATCTATATATTGTGTTCAAGCATGAAACAGACTATCGCCATTAGTCTTGAACTCTCTCTCTCAATATATATATATATATATATATATATATATATATATATATATATATATTGAGGTCAAGTAATATTGCAACAGGAGACAAATTTATATACTAAAAATATTAGTCATTTGGGTTAAATTAAAAGTTCTGTAATTTATTTGTAAAATATTTTAATACAGGATATTTAAAACATTTTGATAAAGTCAATTGAGACAGGATACAAATAAAAAAATCATTAAAATCTGGGCATGTTTTATTATTTATGGGAAGCCTGGTAGTCCTATGTAGGAGAGAAGCAGGAAAGAGTTTAAATAAATTGCCTATGGTCTGTTAAAGAAGCACTGGAGGTGAATGAAAAATTTTGTAGATGAATAAATAAAGAATAGAGAAATTGAATGAAATTCTTTCATTCAATACATTTTTTTGGTTTTTCTTTATAACTTTTTGAAAAGAACAAAACAAAAAGTGAATAGCACAAAATATAAAACAAGAGTACCATAATTCCCCATGTATAATACAAATTTTTTTCTAAAAAATAATAAGCAAAATCAGGGGTGTGTATTATGCACAGCTACAAAAAGTCTTTAAAAAATAAGAATTATCATAAAAATAATTTAGAATAATATTATTCTATGTTTAAAATCATTTTTTTAAAATAAGAGTAGGAAACACTGGTCATAATGAAATTGGAGAGGTACAATTTGTAGGGTTGGATTACCAAACAAGGGGTGCGTATTATGCGTGAGTAGAAGCATTTTCCCACACTTTCAGCACAATTTTAGGTGTTGAAGGTGTATTATACATGGGGAAATACGGTATATTTTGTTTGGTTTAAGTACAACGGTACCAATTCTGCTACTAACTAGAATTAAATATACAAAAAAAATGTAAGTAGATATAAATATTTACTTAGAAAATGAAAGAAAAATAGGAAACAATTTATTATATATTTTCTAGAAATTTGTTATCCATAAGCTAAAAATAACCAGTGTAAACAATTATAATGATTATTATAATCTAAGTTTACAAATATTTGTTTAATTTAAAAATTAATATTAATTATTATTTAAAAAATGTCATTAACTGAAACTGTGTGTCCAATTTGTTTTATGAAGTGATTTGGAATTTAACACTTCAATTTTAAACAAGTCTAAGTAAGCAATATCTAAAAATAATCTAAGTAAAGAAAAATCTTTTTATAAGATTTAAAAACTTAAGGAACAAATCTTGAGTTATATATGCAGGTACATCGATAAATCCATAGCCTAATAATTAAAAAAGAGAAAAGGTATTTATTTTATACCATAAATATTAATTTTACAACTTAATCTCTTTCCTTGTCAATGCATTTAATTAAAGTGAATATTATACAATGAAACTTTCAGATCAAAATTCAGCTAATAACTCTTAGCACACATGCATCTATTTCTGTATACATTTTACCTGAATGCAAAAATTCAAGTAAAATACTTTAAAGTGTTATTTTTACAATTTATAACAGATATTTCTGTTTATGATGCTGAAAAGATCTCAGCCTGACCAAGCATGAATTTTTTTTTTTTTTTTTTGGGTTAAACAAACTTAAGAAATGATGTTCCAAATGTGTCGAACTGTAGGATGAATATTTGGAATATTTTACAGCTCTAGATTATTAATCTTGTCCAAATTTTTACCCCTGCCCCTCACTCAGACTTCAAATTATACTTATACCAAACATGTTCACAGCTACCGTTGATATATTTTAAAATGCAATCGATCAAGCGTGTTGCTGTTTATTGCTCATAAAAAAAATTTGTGGAATTGATGAACATGTTTGTCAGAGGCAACATACCACAGACTATGTTTGTGTGGCAGTGACTTTGTCAAGTGTGAACATGGGTCCTGATTATGTTTGGGGGTGAATGTGCCAAGCAGAAATCAATTGGAACAAGGAAATAAAAAAGAATGGAGAGAAAGAGTCAAGATAATTTGGTTTACAATTCTGGTATCAGTTACCTTTTTATTTTCATGTGATTTATACACTAACATTTTATGAAAACACTGGAAAAAAATGAAAATACTGCTTAGGTGCTAATCAATGGGAGGAACATCAAGGTCTCAAATCTAGTTTTCATAAATTTCAACATGCCATATTTAAAGATAAAGAAGGTGTTGAAAAATGACTTATTCCCACATAGTTTGGACAAAAAGCAATATGCAGAAAAATAATCTAATATTAAGATGGAATTAGATAAAAGTGAATCCTAATTGATAACACTTGAAATGGTGAAGGTTTGTCTTCTGTCTAAAGAAAAAATCTTTTCGGAACTAAATTAATGTATGCTATATATCCATGTATTTTAATGACTGGGCTGTTTGACAGAGATAATGTTTCATAAATGCAAGGAAAATGAACCAGATGAATGTAGAACTGTTACTAAGGAAAGTTGAAAAAAATCAGAATCTATATTCTTAAATGCTTCAGTATAATATACACAGGGACATCAATAAGTTCACAGCTTAATGAAAAAAAAAACATTTTACATAACAAATATTTTTCAACATAATCTCCTTTGTCAATGTACTTAATTCAATGGTGCATATTAAACATATAAATCAAAGATACAGTGAAAATTTCAGATCAAAATTCAGCTAATAACTATGTATCAGGTTTAGTGATTCATTCTTGTATTTTATTAAAAAAAAGGTTAAAAATACAAGTGTTCATGATGTAAAAATAAAAAATAAACAGCCCTTTCATCGTTAGAAAGATAATATGGTGAGTCAGTATCAATGACAAAAAGTAGCTAATCTTTTTAATTCTTTATTGAAAGAATTATATGTGCATAAAAATATTTGCTGGCATTTTATATATATATATATATATATATATATATATATATATATATATATATATATATTTTAGTAATCAATGACAGAACAACAAAACAGACATATATATATATATATATATATATATATATATATATATATATATACACACACTCTCTCTCTCTCTGACGAAAAAGAAATACAATGTGGTTAGAAATTATAAAGTGTCAAAAATAACACTAGTGTTAACAATGTTTTTTTTGTACTTAAAACTAAAAAAGAGTGTTAAGAATTGATTAATTTTAGAGAAAAATCATGTCACCAAAGATATTATTTATTAACAAATAAATAAATGAACCAACTACATGCAAGAAAACAGATGAATTGAACAGAAAGGTAACCAGATAGAACATATACCTCAAATATAAAATGTGTACAATGACAATGCCCAACAAAGAAAAACAAAGAATTTCAACCAGCAGAATCGCATATTAACCTCAAAAAGTTTCCAAAGTTAAATAATACTGATAACAGATAATAAAACATGGTGGCTTTGTTCCTCAGTGTTTTTTTTTCTATGATATTTCTAAATCTACATTTTTAAAGTAAAAGAAAATATTTCAATGATATTTTTTTTAAATTTTTTCTTTCTAATACTCATTGTTTATTTTCTTGTTTCATTAATCCCCCATTTAAAGTGGTTAAATGATTCAGGCAAAGAAATTAGTCTTCAAAAAACAGCTCAGTTTAAAGTCCAGAAACACAGATCTCTGCAGTGCCAGTCATTAAGACAAAACTTTTATCCATGACATATATGAGACTCTAGGACTCCATTTTGTGTTTTTATGCTATCAATATGTAATTCTGCTTGCATATGCTTGTATGTATGTATCAGTGTACGCACAAAATCCAACTGTATATTTGCTTGCCCTATCAACTTGCTTGCTGAATTATCTCCTCTTGCTCTGATGAAGGGATCTGGATTGGACCACTTGTCGGACTTTGCTCAATGTTTATCCTATCTTCACTATTCCTGTTGCCATTAGTTTTCTCTGGTGTGCTTTCAGTTTCACTCGCTGCATTCTGATTTGGGGAGTTTTTTCCTGGACTGTGGATTTGTGTATAGTTCTTATTTTCAACAAGTTGGTCTGAAACAATCTGGGGAGAACTAAAAAGAAAAAAAACAAATAGCAAGAAATTTTTTTCATACAATATATTAATAAAAATAAGTAAATAAAAAGTTAATTTTCGGCTTTCTTTCAGTTTTTCTTTCTTTTTCATTTAGATAACTTTCTCACAAATAAATTAAATCAGCATTGTTGTGTACATAAAGAAATACATGAATAAAAAAATAATTATACTGTCACCATGTTATGTCCATAAAAAAATAAATAAAAAAATTAATTATACTGTCACTGTGTTATGTCTATAAAAAAATAAATAAAAAAATAATTATACTGTCACTGTGTTATGTCCATAAAAAAATAAATAGAAAAATAATTATACTGTCACTGTGTTATGTCCATAAAAAAATAAATAAAAAAATTAATTATAGTGTAAAAAATAATTATAATAAAATAATTATAACAATTATCATTAATTCACTCATTCTAAACCAATGAAAATTGAACCCACTTTTCTTCTGTACACACACAAACATGTGACATTCTCACTTCACTATCACACAAGCAGTTCTCACTGACTGGTCATTAACACATGCACCAACAAAAATTTTATCTCCTTTTTCTTTTTCAAACCATTATAGTAATATTTATCTTTTAGTGCTCAACAAAGATTTGAGGTAAGAAAATTCCAAACACTTGTATTTTTCCAGCTAAATTTTCTGGATACTCATTACACACATATCTATAAAAAAACATATGAAAAAGATTGTATACACTTTACTTATTTTTTATCTTATCATTCTGTCAGATTCTGATCCGTATTTTATCTACATTTGACTCCAAATTCACAATTTTACTCAATATTACTGTCTCTTGTGTCTCCAACACCACATAACAACCAGATAATAAATAATACTTGTTGTTTCCACATCATGCTGTTTCTCATTTTTATGAGTATTTTTGTGTATGTATATATATATATATATATATATATATATATATATATATAAATTTTAGGGGGTTTATAATTATTTACTCAGAGTTATAATTCCTCTACAACATTTTGACATTAATAACAGAATTTTAACATGACATTGGTACAAAACAATTAATTTATGATTTAGATTTCATATCTCATAAATGATATAAATTTTGTTTATTTTTTCAACTTCTGAAAATTAGTTTACCGGTACAACATCAACTGGCTTATGGCTGTATCATGTTGAAATACTGGTTTCTGTAGAATCACTGAAGTTAAGCAATGTTTATCCTGATCAGTATTGAGATGGGTAACCAGGTACTGTATGCTTGGATGGGTGGTTGGTCTAATGGATAATAGCTTGTAATTGTTAATCAGAGTGCAGAGTTCCAATTACCATTGGGTTTGTTAAATTCACTTATATAAACTTAGAAAGGCATGAATTGAACTCTTCTCCCCCATCAGCTATGTGTATGAGACTTGTATCACTAAATCATTATTATCTCCCCCCCCACCACCAAAAAAAAAAAAAAAATTGTATACAAAATATTTAGATTTCAGCATTAAATAATCCATAGAAGTTGATAAGCTGTTAAAGAATAACAATGAACCAACAATGACAATTGTTATCCTCAGTCTTCTTTTATTGTTCTCTCTCTTTAATAATGTGTTCTTTTTTCATATTCTCTCACACTTAGCAACTCCCTGTGTTCTTAGTGTCTTTCTTACTCTGCTTATAAATGATTAAAAAAAAGAAAAAAGAACACAACACTCCAGCATTTATTGACTAAAATGAAAGCAGAATAAGGCATTGTATATGAGCAACATTGTACTGGCCATTTACTGATTGGTTTGGTTTGTTTGGTTTGTTTTGTTTTGTTTTACAGCATATTAACCTCAATGGGTCATTTAATGCTGATAACTTTTTTTTCCAGGTAAAATTTTTGCTTTGTCAAAAATCTATTTCTGGTAATATTTTTTTCCTCAAAAATGTATAGTTGGTAATATTATTTTAAAAAATGTATTGCTGATAATATTTTTTTTTCAAAAACGTATTGCTGGTAATAGTTTTTTTCTTCAAAAATTTATTTCTGGTAATAATTTTTTACAAAGTATTTCTGGTATTAAAACCTATTTTTACACTTTCATAATGCTTTTTACTTCAGTTTCGGGGTTAACTATTTGCCCATAGCTGGGACCTTAACAGGTGCTACCACCCCGGGTCAGGGTGGACCTGGGAACACCAGCAATTAAGAGGTGGTTCCATGCTCTTCAAAGCCTCCTGATCAGAGACCTTGCTGTTGGACGTAGTTTATTATCTTACCCTGGACACAGATGTAGTTTATCATCATACCCAGGACGGCCATTTGCTGATCTTCATTGATGATTTGTTTTGTTATTAGTATTACAAACAGTTCTGTCATAGTGAAATTTTCTCAAAAGTTCCTGTGTGAGTGTTCTGGCAGGTGGTCACTTCCCAGGGTTCAACACATTTTCTCAAAGTGTATTGTAAAAGAAATTCCTTAATTTTATTTTTTATAAATTCCTTCCAGTTTTTAAAAAAGCACATATTTGTCTGTTTTTAACATCATTTTCAACAGCTTGAACTTAGGAAATTACAATATTTACAATATATTCTGTTATGAGTTTTAGTATGATATATTATCTTAACTGGATTATTAGTATAAATAGTCTATCAATGATTTTCCTCTTGTAGTAGTGTGGCTTGCATATCCAAGCAAACCAGAGAGATATACTGTTAAGATCATTACTCTGGGCAGATTTGAGATGGAACTAAATGCGAAGCACAAGAAGTCTTGGGACACAAAATGGTGTTTGTGCTGATTTGAATGAAGAGTTAATCTCAATTTACAACCATTGATGGGCCACACACGATACGGGAAATCTCAATATTTCTAAGTTCATTTTCTTCCAAAAAGGGAATTACTGTTATGACTATAGGATTGGCATAACTACAAGGCTGCTGCATACTAACCACCTGGGGGGATGCTGATTGTGGGCCCTGGGCAGTGTTTTGTGACCCTCATTATTTTATCAACATTTGATTTTTCTACCTACATTTAAATATGTTACAAATTAAACTAAGAATAACTGACCATGAAATTTTGTTTGCAGATTTTGACATCATTCTGTTTTTTTTCTTACCCAATTCTGTGATTTTGTTTTACTCATGCTAAGTCTTGTAAAAACACGGAATATAAAATTTACTATTTTTTATCCATGATATTGAATTTGTTAAAATTCTTCAACTTTTTAACAAGAAAAATCTTAAGTTTATGTTAAAAATTGCTGCAAAACATTGTTGATTTATTTAATATGGAATGATCTATTATGACATGTCTCAAATTAGTATTTAGATATTTTCAATTTTTCAAGTTGAATTGTTTACCTATATTGTATACAATCCATTATGGTACAATAAAATTTATATTTTATATGAATACTACCTTATGAAAACTGAGTGGGGGACTCTATATCATAGATTGGTGGGGGCATGAAGCCTTTGCACTGACACTGCATAACTGAATTTTGTTATCAAAAGATTACTTATGACTTTGCCCATAAATTAACACTTCAACAATTCCCTTGAGCTTGCTAAATTGTTCACTAAGTCAACACTATATGTAAAGCTTTTTCATCAAACTCCAAACACATTTTGGCAGTTTCAATTGCCAATTGTTTCAATCTGTCCAATTCTGCTGCTCTTACTTGTTTACAGCTCCAAGTTGTTTGCTTTTCTGATTGGTCAAGCTTTTAGTGATTATTTTAATTGTCCAATTGAAGAATCATCTCTGTTGTCATGTGATATGGTACAAATATCACTTTACTCTGTAGTCTGTTATGAAGGAACATTTCAGGAGTGTTTTAAGAGAATCAAAGTAATGCGTTTGTCTTGCCTGGTTTTCACATGTCTGCATGTCAAGAGCACTTCTCCAACTGAGAAAAACATTAGCTCTTCCAGTTTCAGACCCACACTAATTATTGGCTAATACCTGCCCAGTATTGTTCATATGCAAATAGTCAGTGCCACCTACTCTAAGTAGAAGGTCTTCTCTCAACAGCCCCTTGTGGAAAGGGATGCAACTCCTGGTGCTTACAGCACCACATACAACCAACTCAGGGTCTTTTATCGGGGTGACCTGATTCTCTGTTACAAGTAATTACCATTATTATAAATAAAAAGCATTCTCATTTCATTAATTACTTACTAACAAAAAATTGTCAATAGTTAAAAAACCATTTGATCTTTTTCCTCACTTTTGAGATTAAAAGATGTATAAATAGTAGGATTGATTGATTTGCTTTTTATGCCTTATCAATCTTTTATAAATAGTAAGAATGTTAGGGTGGTTGATGATATCTCTGCTTGATAGTATATTTTCTTAAAGCTATTAGATATTTCTCTACTTGCTGAATATATCATTGGGAATTAGTAAATAAGAATTAATCCAAAGAAAATAGACAGTGTATACTTCTAGTTTTTAGAAAAAGTATCTCATGGTAGTCCTTAAGATAAGCAACTATATAACATTACTATCAAGCAGGATAATCTATTAATTCATTTGCAGGTATCTTGAGATTAAGCAGTCTTTTGGAACCTTTTGAAAATGAATTATGGAAGAGAAGGTTTTGGTATTTTAAATTCCAAGCTGTTTGTTTTCATTGGTCAGATGGTTCAAATGTCTTTATATCCTGTGGTATTAGTGCATGTGTGTGAATTCTAGTGAGTGTTTTCCAAAATCATTAAAATCTACATACTGTAGGTCTTACCTTAAAGTTCCCCCATTGGTAGAATCAGAGTTCATAGTAGGGACAGTAGTACTGGTGTCTTCCTCAGATTTTACAGCATGAGTATTATGAGGCAACAGTGGACCATTTTCCCTTATCTCATTATCTAGAGGACTTTCACCATGACCATTGCTCACATCACTTGCAACATCATCATCATAAATCCTGTATCTAAAAAGAAGAATATACAATTAAAAATCAAAGGCCATCTGATACAAAAAAAAATCCAACCTTCTTTTCCCAATGATAAATTTTCAGAAATTAAGCTGAAATATATTGGCTACTAAACCAAATTAAAGATATTGATAGCATCATTTTCAACAGAAACCCTAAGTTTGGTTGAGTAACCAATTTTGTTTGAAGCATATGTTGATTATTGTAAATAAAACAAAGTAAACAATTTTGTTACTGTTGATTATATTGGTAAAGAAAGCAATTTAGTTAATGTTGGTTATATTGGTAAAGTAAACAATTTCGTTAACACTGGTTATCTTGGTAAAGTAAGCACTTTCAGTAATGTTGATTAAAGTAAGCAATTCCATTAATGTTATTGCACTGGTAATGTAAGCAATTTTGTTAATGTTCTTTATCTTGGTAAAGTAAGCAATTTCATTAATGTTGGTTATCAATTTTCTTAATATTGCTTATCTTAGCAAACTATGCAATGTTGTTAGAATTGGTTATCATAGTAAAAAGTAAATTGATATCATTATTTCTTTGAATCTGTCCTAGAGGCTTCTTGTATAACTGCTTAAAGATTCACCAAGTTCAAAGAATCTGGAAGTTCCTTTGGATATTAAAATTAATGATATCTTAGAATTAATTGTTGCCAAATTAAACCTGAATCTAAATATAATAATTAGTATAGTTGTCAAGAAATAATTGTTTTATTAGAAGATACTGTAGACATGGATACCTGTTGGTCATTTGATTTCATCCCACCCAAATCAATTGTCAAGTGCACCCTCTAACATTTAGATCCTCTCCCTTTCATTAAGAATGCCAGCAAATGCAGCACTTTCTTCATTGGTGGAAAGTCTATTATATAACATAGTGACTAGTAAGATATTCAAATCTAATGACTAGTTAATTTTTCTGTCTGAACTTTTGAGATGAGGAGTTATCATTATTTACATTATTTACCTGTGAACTATTGTCCTCATCTTTGTTGGTGTTATCATATTTTCAGACTTCATCAGGTGCTCGTTGATCTGGGTGACCTTCAGAAAGTCTTATGAAGGCCGGATGGCACAGCAGCTGAACTGTGATAACAGCAACAAAGATGAGGACAATAGTCAGCATGTAAATAAGAGTTCATTTTTGGCATTTTTCAAAAATTGCAGTGTTTTTTGACAAAATGTTTTTTAATTAAATATTTTTTTGTTTATAGATAAAAAGTTTTTCACACTATCACTTTTTACAAATACTACACTTCTATTGAGTACATACAATTTTTATATAAATATTTTTTCTAATCTTTCTATTGGCTAGTGAAACAAACATTTTGATATAATTAATTTATATAAAAGTTTGAATGTTTTTTCCTGAAAAACATTTTGTTCCTACCAACAGTATCACATAGCATTAATTGCATTAGGTTTATAAGTAATTTTGAGATGATTTAACCCATTAACAGCCAAATTTTTTTAATGCACATTTTTGGCCCAGACAGATGTCTTAGTTTATTTATTCCTTATGCTTAATTTCAGTAGTTACCATTGTCATTTTTATAGGAACTAGAACCTCAAATATATATGTGCATAAAACATCAAAAAATAATATTGATTAGAAATAATAAAAAAATACTTTTCAAAATTGTCATTATTTTTCTACTCGTGAAATGTAAAATTACGACAGAAAGTGTCTTCTTATGGCTAATAATAAAAATTTTAAAGACTAAGTGTTGTAAAATATACCTCTGCAAATGCAATGTATGTAAGCAATTCAATGTAAATACAAGGAATAACATGTAGTGAGTTTAATTTGAACAGATCCCCAAATGGGGCTCATGACAGGTAATGGACTAAAGTAGATAGGAGGATATACTTTCAGTCAGTTATGTGCCATGCATGATACATGCATAGGTGGTCATGTATCTTTTGATACATGACTGATGAGGCAGATTTTTTCCACAGTAGGTTGCCATTTCTCTCTGTGGTAGACCAGTTGCCATCCAAGGCTATAGAACCCGGTTTGTTCTGCTATTTACCCATAGCTAGGGGAGAAGAAGAGGATTCATACCCTTCCCAACGGTATTAGCACATAAGTGAATGTAATGGATTCAACTGGAATTTGAACACAGCTCTCCGATTCCTCAATCTGAGCCGCTATCCATTACTCCACTGTGCCTTCTCTAGATATAACTAAGGATATACCTTAGTTATATGAAAAATATCGACAGATTTTAGCAACTGTTGGGGAGAGAATCCTGAAACCAACTCCTCTTGGATAACAAGTGGTGACTGTATATAATATATTTTTTAATACAATATCCCAATTGGTAAGTGAAAGTAAGAAATTCAAAGTAAAAAGTAAAAAATAAATTCATACCGGAATCCATTTTCATCTTCATATTCATGGTTCTCATCATCGCTGTCTTCATCAGGAGCAACAAACACAACCTCCAACTCAATTTCTCCTTGCTTTAAGATTCATTTGTAATTAAAAGAAAAATAAATACAAACATTCAGTCTTTTTAATCAAATATTAAAATCATACATTGTGGATCTGAAAGGAACTTGGTTGGAACAAACTGCTTGAAATTAGTATGAGTATCTATTTTTATACTATTGTTCACCCAATACAAGGCCTAAGAGCTCCTCAAGGTAGAAGGTTATTGAATGAGATTGTTGTAGTGGTGCAAAGGAAGCAAAGAGAATATCTGGTAAAAATTTCCTTTGTTTACTGAAAATTGCAACTATTTTGTATTGTACAGTTGTTGAAGTAAACTATTACAATGTCCTAGACTCTCTCAACAAGCAAAAAAAAAAAAAAATACGCAATTCATCATTTTCTATCAACAGTCATAGAAGGTGCTATTTTAACTGTTGTCCCTTTAGGATGAAGGTGATCACAGATCTCCACAACTTCCTTTTATTTGTAGCTCTAAGCAAGATTTGTCTCTTTACTATCTTTTCTAGACCATGTTCTGTTATCTGTTTTCATAATCTATTTAGGTACTTCTGACTCTCTTGCTTTTAATGTGTCCTGTAAGTGTCATATTCTCCAAATCCTCTTTTCTTATTGCATCCTAGAAATTTCAATTGTTTCTTTGATTGTAATTATAAGTGTCCTTTTCATTTCTGTTTTTCTTAAAACCTCCTTGTTGCCCATATGTTCTTTTTATGGAATTCTCAGCATCCTTCTATAGAATCACATTTCTGGTACCTCAAGTCTATTCTTCACCTGCGAGGAATTCTTTTTATGCCAAGCAAGGTGATGAAAGCCACTAAAACACAAGGGGTTACTGAGTGTGAAAGAAACTGAGAAAACAATATTGAGATGAAAGGAGAATAAAAGAACAGGATTCAAGGAAGATGATGATGATTGACATTACATTTACATTCTTGAAGTTCATAGTTGACAGGAAAGCAAGAGACCAGAAGAGAGAAATGTGAGGGAAGAAACTATTAGCATAGAACCTACAGTTAAATCTAGCACTTTCAGCAGTGAAATTATGAGACCTACTTGCCAATCTAATACTGTGCTTAAATTTGGAAAGTTGAAGTATCAAAGATGAAAGCTCATCTGAACAATTACTATGAAAATAGTTATAGAAAAAGCAAAGGGAAGCTAGATTACGGCAGTGGGAAAGTGATTGAAGCCAAAATGCCAGGTTGGGACAAATAACATTGAAGATTATTTTTTGGATTTTGTCAAAAATCTCTAGATATATAGCATAAGCACTAGACAAGTTTTGGCAGCAATATTCAATACATGAACAAATAGTAGAATTATAACTGTGCAAGATGGATTTGAAAATTGTCTAGCATGACATAGTGAACTGAATTTCCTAGTAGAAGACAATTAATTCAATATAATCATTCCATTTGATCTCAATGGAATATGTGAAACTGAGAAAGTGCAATTTGTTGCTCTCCTGGAGGCTAGCATCAGCCATGCTGATGGAAGGCAAAAAAGTATTCCCCAATTACTTATCTTTTAATACCTAGTTTCCTTTGAAGTAATGGAGTATTTCTATCACATCTGGGCTGAAACTATATAATCTTTACTTTTTAGCCTTGACAGAGTTCAAAAGTATTTATATGGCCTTGTGGGTGATGAACTGTTTTCTACCCTATAAAGCCTTTTGCACAGACAAAAAATTGTTAGCCTCTTGTTACTTTATTGCTATTTTAATTGTATATTTTAAGTGAACTACATTCTGTTGTTCTACTAGTTCAGAATTTCACAGCTAGGACCGTCCATACTGCATACACTGATCGGTCAACACATTCTCATTCCTTTAATATTTCATGAGTAAAGAGGAAGTTTCACTCAAGCAGTTTCTTTCCCAGAACTGTAACATTATCAAAAAGATGCTTCTCTAACCATAACAATCTTAACTTATTCAAGTCTAAAGTCAACTGTTATTTATTCTACACATTCTCATTATATATATCTTATTCCCTTTTTGTATAACCTTACAGAAATCTCATTTAGTAACCCTCTACCTCAAGTGGCTCTTGGGCCTTGTATGGTGTGGGGTGAACAATAGTATAAAAAAAGAATAAAAGTAGTTATTTTCAACATATATCCCTTGATTTCACAAACAGTAACAGGAAAGTGTGTATTATATTTTCAATTTGTGCATTCAAATTTCCCAAACTTTTTAGTAGCACTTTGTATAAAAAATAAAATCATTAAATTCTATTTAAACAAAAAGCAATCTATGCCAATCTATTTTTTTTAATCAATTCACCCCAAGCAAGATGATAATGCCACTAAGATTCACTAAGATTTGAAGTGAAAGAGAATGAAAAAACTTTAGAAAACCAATCCTGAACAGGAAACAAGGGATAAACCTGTTCAAAAAGCCGAGGAGGAGGGTGAACTTATTTACTCCTATTGAGGAAAAAACCAAATGATAAATAAAATTTCGACGTTTAGGCAGAGACGGGAGAAGTATAAAGTGGAAGGACACTTTAGAAGGAACCAGAAATCCAATCCTAAACAGGAAACAAGGGATTAAACTCTACTCTTGTTCAAAAGACTGGGAAGGAGTTATGTTTCTAATATCATTCTAAAATACATTTAGGGATTTACTAAGATTCTTCTTTGCATAGAAAAAGTCCATCTATGCTATTCAATGAAACTGAAGGCCCCAAATCAAAATTAGAATACATTTGTCCCAAGCAGAATTTATCCAACATCAATTTTAAGTTGCTTTTTGTACAGCCCAAGTATTTAAAAATGTCAGCATTTAGGCAACATAAAGAAAAACAATATGATAAGAATTATTTCCCACAAGGAATTGGGGCATTTATGAAGTTTTTTTTTGTTTTTTTTTTACAAGAATGATAATAATTTTCTTTCTTTTTTGTTAAGAATATTGAATTTGTAAATAGATAAGCCATCACCATGAGCAGTAAATAACAATTTCCTTTTGTTCTGTATCATGAAAATACACAAACTATTTTGTATTTCTAAATTGCAAAGTTGCATTATGGAACTTCTGTAGGGTTTCTATTTCCCTTTCCTTCTACTAAAAACAACAAAAATGAAACACTGACCGAAATTCTCAATTTACTGTTTGTTGAAAAGAAATGCTCTGGGTAAATGCAACAATGAAACTTGGTAAAAACACAACATATAAATTATCATTTCCATTTGTTGTACATCACAGATTTATTCCTTACATTGTGATCTTGAAATAAACAAAATTGCCAATTTTCTTCTTATCGGAATGGCGAAAATAAAGAAGCTAGTTTAAATAAAATATTGTCAAAAGGGAATTAATTCTTATAAAAAAATATATTCTTCATAATTCTTTTCATTTTAGACTGTAACTCTTTTAATGGAAAAATATTTACTCATGACATTGGGAATAAGATTCATGAAAACATTGATAAGATAGCAAATTTTTATTCCAACAAGCAAGCCATTGCCATCATTCTTCTGGATGTGAGCAATCATGGCTCCCCACAACTTCCTATCCTCTGTAACTCTTAGAAATGTTTATCTTTTTACTATCCATCTTACACCCTGTTCTGACATCCAATTAACCAATTCCATTATGTAGGTTACTTGCTGCTTCTCTTTGCCCCTTTTCCTATCAATATATCCTGTGAGTGTCAAATTCTCCAAGCACTCTTTCCTCATTATGTCCCAGAAATTTCAACTGCTTCTTTCTGTTTCCATTTTCCTTAAAACTTCCTCATTGCTTATATGCTCCATCCATGGTATTCTCTGTATTCTTCTGTTGTTTCAAGTTTTTTTTTCATCTGTGAGCGAATTTTCCAGCATTCATTGTCATATATGAGGACTAATATTACAAATATTAATATTATTAACCCAAGAAAAATTTGTTAGCCAGCTACAGTGCTAACTGCCTTTCAGTTATGTGATGGTAGACAAAAATGACATTTGGGGAATTATAGCAAGAGTTGATTTGCTTAACTGTCAATTAGCTTAAAAAACTTTATTTTTAAATGATGAGCTTAATTAGTTTAATGAACTCTATACCTGCAATGTTGTACTGAGATATAACAAATTCAATTTTCATCTCTTAAAAAAGAAAAACAACTTGAAATCAGTTATGTTTTAATTATTCCATTCCCAAGCAAGGCAACAAAACCACTAAGACACAAGGGGTGACTGAGTGTGAGAGAATATGAGAGAAAAAAGACACTATTAAGGAGAGAGAAGAATAAAAACAGGAATTAAGAAGACAGAAGATAACAATTGATATTACATTTACATTTTTAAAGATCAAAGATGATGGGAAAGAAAAAAAAGAAGAGATTCCCACAAGTGAGAAATGTGAGAGAAGAAACTGTTAGCATAGAACTTATGTTTACATATATCCATTTCAAGTGTAAAATGATGAGACCTTGCTGCCAATCTAGTACTGTGCTTAAATTTATAAAGTCTAGGTATCATAGAGAAAAGTTTGTCAGAACAATTATTATGAAATTATTTATAGAAAAGGCACAGGGAAGCTATATTATAGCAATGGGAAAGTGACTGAAGTTGAGATGTCAGGTCAGGACCAATAATTATTCTGTGGATTTTGTCACATATCTCTAAATATATAGCAGAAGCACCAAACCAGATGTGGCAGCAATATTCAAAGCATAGACAAATGGTAGACTTATAAATATGTAAGAGAGATTCTGTCAAGAAAAATTGTCTAGCACAGCACAGTGAACCAAATTCCTAGAGCAGACCAAAAAATTGATTCAATATAATCATTCCACTTCATGTCAGTGGAAAACATTAGTCTGAGAAAGTGCAATGAGACACTCTACTGGAATTTAGCATCAGCCATGCTGATGAAAGGCAAAAAAGTTACTTTCAGACAATTAAAAGAGAACAGTTTCATTTTGGAGGTGTTAGAATTAACAAGCCATTTCTTGGCCCAGTTAACAAAAGATTGTGGGTCATTTTTGAGATTAGCTGCCAATTTGACCATATCAAACCA